CTCTGCCTGTCAAAAAAAAAAAAATTAATACAAGAAACTTCCAAATATGTACTAGTATCATGTATCCTCTGAAATGGCAAAAAAAAATCTCTTCTTGTATTTTTGTCCCAAATCTTTAACTTCAACCTAGATGTGAGAAAAGCACAAAATTCAAATTGAGGAATACTCTACAAAACATTAGATTCATTAAAATTGTCAATATCATCAATGTCAAGGAAATACTGAATACTATCACCAACTAAGACATGTAACTATCAAATTTCAAACGCTATTTGAGATTCTAGATTGGATCTTAGTGAATCCTAGAACAGCAAAATAATAGAATTTTACTGCTTTGATTGAGCATTTATTTAGTCTTCCATACATTTGGATACCTTTATGAGAATTGGCACTTTGTTAGTGAATGGAATAGACAAGGCTCCTATTGTCATGAAGCTAAACTGCAGACTGAGGAATGGCAGGGATGTGGGGAGATATTTTAAAGCAAACATTAAAATTAATGAGATGATTTCTATAGTAATAAACCTGTATAATACGTAAATGTGACCTAAGGTAAATTTAAAGTATTGGTGACAGATTATTTCAAAGCAAGTGGCCAAGAAATGTCTCGCTGATTAAAGTATCTCACCATCTCTGCTATGACTTTCAGGGAGTAGTAGGTCAGAGACAGAGGCTTTAATTTGGAAATAGAGTTGGTGAAACTCAAAAGCCTAAAATCTGTTGTTTTCTGTTGCACCATAAAGAGAAGAAACGTGTTAGAGTTGCATTCACTGATATAGCCAAAGCTGTGGCAAGACAGTCCATAAAGGCAACATTTTCTATGCTTTAGATTGTCAGATGTAGCAAATAAAGATACATACCATGCGATAAAATTAATTTTGAGATAGACTAATTTGCATAAGCATTTCCCATATTTTGAATATTCAATATTCTAAATTTTAATATTTTGGAATTCATATTTAGTGGATGTCTGTACAATTGAACAACGTTAATGGTGGAGGGCATTAAAGGAGGTTTTTTTTTTTCTTTTTTTCGGGAGGGTTCTGATGTGGTTTTCCTACTGCTTATCTTGGGATGTAAAGGAAGAGATGAGGTTTGATGATATGAAAAATCGCAAACTTAGTTTCCTCTTGGTGGTTTTTGAAGGCTAGTAACAATCTCAGGAGACGTTCTGTGGTTATTTTGGAGATATACACCTGGAGATCAGAATTGGTAATATAATTTGAGGTTAATTCAGGAAAATAATTTACCCAAAGTAATTCATCTACAGAGGGAACATACAGACCATAAGAGGGTCAAGGACCTGGCTGGACATACTCACTTTGAAGACAAAATCTGAAGAACACTGAAAGGATGCTGACAGGAGCAGCAGCTGAGACTGGAGTGAAACCAGATGCATGTGGTAGAATGAAGCGGAAGGGTGCAGAGTTCTTCAGGGCTGAAAAAGGTTGTTAGTTAATGTGGATGCTCCACAGAGCCTCAGTTAGGTGAAGAGGACTTAAGCTCTACACTGGTACAATTCAGGTTTCGGTGGCTCCTTAGGAACAGTTACAGTAAAATGGTGGTGACCAAAGGTAAGAAAGTGGGAAAAGAGAAAAAGACAGACTAAAAAAACAGATGGACATGCATGAACAACTTTTCAATCTTTTAAGAAAAGAAAATGAAATCATAGTTGGATTTCACCGCGTAGGTAGAACAGCCAGGGGCCTAAATGGACGAGGGCATGCCTTGCTCATTTTGCGCCCAGAAGAACTGGGTTTCCTTCGTTACTTGAAGCAGTCTAAGGTTCCATTAAGTGAATTTGACTTTTCTTGGTCTAAAATTTCTGACATTCAGTCTCAGCTTGAGAAGTTGATTGAGAAGAATTACTTTCTTCATAAGTCAGCCCAGGAAGCATACAAGTCGTACATCCGAGCTTATGATTCCCAGTCTCTGAAACAGATCTTTAATGTTAATAGCTTAAATTTGCCTCCGGTTGCACTGTCTTTTGGCTTCAAGGTGCCTCCCTTTGTTGATCTGAATGTGAACAGCAACGAAGGCAAGCAAAGAAAAAGAGGAGGCAGCGGTGGCTTCGGCTATCAGAAAACCAAGAAAGTTGAGAAGTGCATAATCTTCAAGCACATTAGCAAGAAACCGACCGACTGCCGGCAGTTCTCTCACTGAAGATGCGTCTTCCTTTGATCTTGAGTAACTTGGTCCTGGAATCAATTTTTTTTTTCCTTTTCTAACAAAGGAATTTTTGTAGCCTTTAAATTTGAACTCAACTAATGAGTGTTCATTGGCTCAGGTTGAAAACAATGGACACTGTGATTTCCAGCAAGTCTCTTGTATTTTTGAGATTTGGGGGCATATAAAGCAGACTTTAATTCCTTGGTTGCCCAAGGGCAAAGCAAGGAATCTTTCTCTTTTCTGATGATACGGTGTATTGATTTTAAATATATTTCCCTCTTTATGTCAAAAAAAAAATCATAGTTGGAAAGGATTAGGGAATCCAAGAAGAATCATTTTGCTCTGTTTTTTCATTATGGAATGTAGTTAAGAACTCAATCAATTTCAGAAAACTAATAAAAAACATTTTCAAAAACTGAATTTCATTGGGTGTAATGCTCTCATTGTTATCATTAAAGAGAGAAACTCAATTTCCTGGATGAAAAAAAAATCACTTCAGGAAGTAGAAAATTCTATAGATAAATAAATTAGTAAATGTTATTAGGGGCATTGAAATGCATACACACATTAATACATTTTTGAAGACAAGTTTAATCAAATACAAAAAAGTCAATTATTATTTTTAATTGACTGATTTAGTTTAGTATGCCAATGTCAGGTGCTTTTTCTGAGAACATAGATAGCCTAGAGGAAGATTGATCATTATGCTATTTAGATTAGTTTTTACTGAAAACTTATTCTGGGTTATTGTTTGATTGACTCTGCTCTGAGTTGAGACTATTATCTTTCTTGTATGGTGAATATTCAAATGATATCCTAAAGGTGTTTTCTAATTCTAATATATAATCAAGCCGTTAGTGAATAAAATATAATAATGTGTCTGTTGTTACAAAAATGAATCTGTCACCAGATACGTAAGAAACAAAAGCACACATTGAATTAATAAATTAATGTCTTTGATCTGATGAATAATAGAAAATGTCCTATTTCATTAAGAGTAATTTTTTGAGAGGCAAAGTAATGCACTCACACAGAGAGAGACAGAGAAACAGAATAAGAGACACTGGTTCATTCCACTAATGCCCACAATGGCTAAAGGGCAGAAGCCAAATCCTGGAGGTCAATCCAGATGTCCTAAATGAGAGGCAGAGACTCAATTACGTGAGTCATTACTGCTGTCTCCTAAGGTTTGCATTAGTAGGAACCTGGAATCAGGAATCTGAATAAGGACTCAGACCGAGGCACCTCAATGTGGGACATAGGCATCCTAACCAGCATCCAAATCATTAGGCCAAATATCTACCACATGAGGTGTTATTTTGTAAACTCATCTCATATATTAATCAAAGTAGGCATAGTGGAATTTTTTTTTTAATTTTGTGTCTTCATTCCTATGACTTCTAGAGAGTTGTCTAAAATACATGGGGTATCTAATATCTTATATTTTATTCACTACTATATCAACTAGCCTCAAATTTGATCACTTATAAAGGATACCCAAAACTATTGTCTTAACTCAGATGTATCCTTAGAACATCAAAAACCAAATAACAAATGACTAGTACCATCTCCCAATACTCACTCTTTTAAAGTCACGAAAATACATTTTTAACTAAATATGAAACAACTCTCACTTTTTGTGCCTCCATTAGGAGGAATTTTCACAATGATTTGAATCAAGACAGTAATAATCCCAAAACTATTCAAGAAAATTCAACTTGTCTCAATGACAACAATGACTGAATTTCCTGATAAAGGAATAGGTTCTGTTAAACACACTGATAAAGAACTGGTAACATAATATTAAATTCATCAAATAATTAATTAGAATGTAATTCTAATAATAACTAGAAGACAAACAAAGCACTGTATATGCAATTTGGGGGAGAGGGGAAATGGTAAACTTGGATACCCAGAATCAGTTCTGTTTTGTAGTACCTCAGTAGAAATTCAATATAAATGATAATTAGACTAGATGTAAGCAAGGAAGTAAAATATTTTGTTCAGAATTGGTTTTATGAAAATATTAATTACGTGGATTGGGCCGGCGCCGCGGCTCACTAGGCTAATCCTCCGCCTAGCGGCGCCGGCACACCGGGTTCTAGTCCCGGTCAGGGCGCCGGATTCTGTCCCGGTTGCCCCTCTTCCAGGCCAGCTCTCTGCTGTGGCCCGGGAGTGCAGTGGAGGATGGCCCAGGTGCTTGGGCCCTGCACCCCATGGGAGACCAGGAGAAGCACCTGGATCCTGGCTCCTGCCATCGGATCAGCGCGGTGCGCCGGCCGCGGCGGCCATTGGAGGGTGAACCAACGGCAAAGGAAGACCTTTCTCTGTGTCTCTCTCTCTCTCACTGTCCACTCTGCCTGTCAAAAAAAAAAAAAAAAAAAAAAAAAAGAAAATATTAATTACGTGGATTGATATAAACAGCATGGTGATGATATATCTGGTTTCAGTGTAGAAAAGGAACTGGATCTCAGAAAAAAAAATTAATTTGCATTGAGAAAGAAGAAAAGCTCAAGATTTAATCGGAGTATTTTTGAAAAAACACTTAAATAATTGTGGCCCAAATCAAATAAGTATGCCATGATGAAAACCATTATTTTGTTACATAAAGGACGGTTTGAATAGGAGGTGAAAATGAACATCTAGTGTGAGGCAGGGCTGCAGGAATGTGACTGTGTGCATCTTCTAACTGAGCCCCCATTGGGTAAGGAGAGTCCAAAACCAGCAACCAAACACAGCAAGCCTTCAAAATACCTCTAAGGATTTATCTCATGACTGAGAAACAACAAATTAACTACATTAGTCATAAAATGAGCCAGTGACAAGAACACCTCTGGTGGGTCACACCCCACTGAGGGCATATAAAAGGCCCTCTGCAAGGAGCATTGTCCAGACTCAAGTCACCTACACTCCTCCTCCTTCTCCACCAAGGACAACCTCAACAACCAACACCATGTGTGGCTACTACGGAAACTACTATGGTGGCCGTGGCTATGGATGCTGTGGCTACGGAGGCCTGGGCTATGGCTATGGAGGCCTGGGCTGTGGCCTTGGCTCCTACTATGGCTGTGGCTACCGCAGACTGGGCTGTGGCTATGGCTGTGGCTATGGCTATGGGTCCCGCTCTCTCTGTGGCTGTGGCTATGGCTATGGCTCTGGCTATGGCTCTGGCTTTGGCTACTACTACTGAGGAGACTCTGGCCCTCGACAACTGCATCATTGGCATTCACCAATTCTGAAGCCTGCATGCTGGAAGTTCCATATTTCAGAGATGATTCTTTCCCATAACTAACTTCTGATTTAATCTTGCTGAACACACAGTGCCCTCTCCATCTGATGCCACAAATGCTTCCTGTCGTGAATTTTAGTCTTAAAAATTCACAGAAATTGACATTCATCCTGTGTATTCCTGTATGGTCTCTCTTCATGATGATGATGTCATAGATCCTGTCTCCATTTTTATGAAGAATTCTTTTCTCTGTTTTAACAATAAACTTGTTGAGTGTGGAATAGCAAACTTGGTTTTCTTTTCATTGAAAGTATGGTATTTATCATTTTTTAGGTTGAATGAAAAGTAATAATTTTCCTATTTGTGTAATATCTTCCTTTAATTTATAATAATATTTGGATTTATCTATTTTATAATATGAATCTACCTGTAAGTATAAGTTGAACATTTTACTTTACAAAATGCTTGAATTATAATAAGATAGCAAATAGCAATCTTGGTATCTTCAGTTTACTGTTGTGGTAAACCAACAATGGTAGGTGTTAGATGGGATATTTAGGATATCAAAATAGGTCAATTTATCAATTTAGTTAACCATGATCTGAGAATACAGTATGCTCCAAGTGCCATTTTATCTCAACCTTCATCTGTGAAAAATACTTTAGGAAATTAAGTACTCATATAATTGTCACAACTGAATCAATGACGGATCATTCTTTACTTCTAATCTCATTTTGAGCATCTTTAAATAAGAATTGTTTTTTATGCTTGCTAATAACAAGAAGCAGGGAAATTTAAACTTATCTTACCTCCATCAGATTTTAAAAGCTTAAGTGTAGAAAATGATTTTGTAAAGGTGCCATCATCTCTAACATCCAGCAAGTAATCAATCTTAGAATGAGTTGATGACAGTCTATATTCCTATTTGGAGATTTTAAAATAGAAAATAGGTTAGTAGAGAAAACATAGTGGAAGAAATAATAGTTGAAAACATCTCATAGCTGATAAAAGTCATAAATTCCCAGATTGAAGAAGTTATAAATCCCAACAAGAATAAAATTTCTAATAACCAGAAAAAAGAAAAAAGTCTGTTGAAATCAACTAAATATAATAATGGAAAATAATGAATTATTGTGGATTTCTCTTGAACAAAATCAGAGTCCAGGGGCCAGGGTTGTGGCACTGGGGTGTGGCCACTGCCAATGAATACTGTTTCCATATGAGCATTGATTTTAGTCCTATTGCTTCACTTCCATTCCAGTTCCCTGCTAATGCACCTGGGAAGGCAGCAGAGGATGGCCTAGGTAGTTGGGCCCCTGCCACTCAAATGGGAGACCCAGATAGAGTTCCAGGACCCTTGCTTCAACATGGCCCAGGCCAAGCATTGTGTCCATGTGGGGAGTAAACCAGCGGATGGATAATCTCTCTCTCTCTCTTTCTTTCTCTCTCTCTTTCTCTCTCTTACACTCACATGCGCGTGCGCACACTCTCTCTCTCCCTCTCTCTCTCTCTCTGTCTCCCCTTCCCCCACCCAGGCCCAGGTCTATCTCTTCCATCTGGCATCTGGGAAGTAAACCAGTGGCTGCAAGACCTCTTTGTATTTCTCTCTCTCTCTCTCTCTGCTTGGCATCTGCCTCTCTGTAACTCTGCCTTTGAAACAAATCAATTTTTTTAAAAGTATGCTTCTGCAATACAAGTGTATATGATAGCTGTAACAAAGTTGACAATAGTGAAGGTACTTATAATTTTATAGGGATTATATAAATTTGTAAAATTGTAACTCAGAATACTATGGCATATTAATTATATATATTATAATCTTTACATTAACCTCTGAAAACATAGATATATAGTGAAAAAGCCATAAACTAATTTAGAAAGTGATATTAAACAATTTAAATTAAAAATTTGAAAAACTGGAAATATAAATGCAGAAAAGAGAAAAATGATAAAATGCTAGATTAAATTCAATCATATAAACATTTGCATGGAAGATAAGTATTCTAAATATACAATTAAAGATTGTCAAATTGCATAAAATCAGGTGTATATATATGCTTAGCTTATAAGAAAATAAATTGAAATATAAAACTAAAACAGATATATAAAAGTGATTTAAATTTAAAGAAAAATAGAATAGGCTATACTATACTATAGAAGCAATATTTAAAAGAAACTGGGAGTAGCTATGTTTTTTTTAAAGATTTATTCATTTATTCCATAAAAGATTGACACACAGAGAGAGGGAGAGAGAGAAAGAGAGAGAGAGAGAGAGAACGTTTCATCTGGTGCTTCACTCCCCACATTGCCACTATAACCAGAACTGGACCAGGCTAAAACCAGGAACCAGGAACTCTACCTGGGACTCCCACATGGGTGGCAGGGACCATCACCCACTGTTTTCCCAGGTGTATTAACAGGGAGGTGGATCAAAATCATAGAAGCTGGGACTAGAATTTTCACTCCAGTATGGTATGTTGGTATTGCAAGCAGTGACTTAACCCACTGATCTAAGAAGCCAGCTCTGTGGTAGCTATTTTAATATCAGATAAATTACACTTCATTAATAAAAATTTTGGCTAAGATCAAGTGTAATAAAAAAATATCATGGATAAAGAACATTGCATAAATATAAAACAATCATTTCATGAGAATCAATAAAAACACCGAATATGTTTGAATCTGTCAAAGAAACTTCAGAATACTTGAAACAAAAACTCATAAAATTAAAAGGAGTTGTGGCCGGTTCTGTGGCGTAGCAGGTTAAGCTGCTGCCTGCAGTGCCAGCATTCCATATGGGCACCAGTTCATGACCAGGCTCTCTTCTATGGCCTGGGGAAGCAGTAGAAGATGGCCCCTCAGCTCCGGCCATTGTAGCCAACTAGGGAATGAACCAGCACATGGAAAACCTCTCTCTCTCTATTTCTATGCCTCTCCTTCTCTCTCTGTGTAACTCTGACTTTCAAATAAATAAATATTTAAAAAATAAAATAAAAGGAGAAATGATTTTATTTATATTTATTTTGTAAGCTTCAACTCTGTTATATCAGAAATAAATACAAGAGGTAGACAAATATTCAGCTAGAAAATAGGAAAACAGAACAACTACATCAATCGACTTGACATAATTTGTAAAAGATTCTACCTACTGTTCTCAGAATACGTATTCTTTCCAGGTACATATGAAACATTCACAAACGGAACTGATACCTTTTGTAATAAAAGGAATCATTGTTAAGTTAAAGAATTAGAATTATAGGAAGTATTCTCTGATAATTAATGAAGTAAAATATCAATCAGTGACAGAGAGCTACTTGGGAAATTCCCAAATGTTTGGTAATCACTAGAAATTTGAGAATAAGTTAAAAAGAGATTTTCTAGGGAAATTTAAAGTTTTTTTTTTAAGATTTATTTACACAGAGAGAGAAGGAGAGGCAGAGAGGTCTTCCATTCGCTGGTTCACTCCCCAAATGGCTGCAACTGCCGATCTGCGCCTATCCAAAGCCAAGAGCCAGGAGCTTCTTCCAGGTCTCCCACGTGGGTGCAGGAACCCAAGGACTTGGGCCATCTTCTACTGCTGTCCCAGGCCATAGCAGAGAGCTGGATCAGAGTGGAGTAGCCAGGACTCAAACCGACACCCATATGGGATGCTGGCACTGCAGACGGTGGCTTTACCCACTACACCACAGCACCAGCCCCAAAAGATATTTTTAATTGAATTAAAATTAAAGCAGAACATTTAAAAATGTGTGAGATGTAAATAAAGCTGTTCATAAAATGGTGAAATTTATGGCAGTAAATGCTTATGTTGAAATTACCAATGCAAGCATCTTTCAACATAATTAGCAAAGAAGTTTTTTTTTTTTAACTTTTATTTAATGAATATAAATTTCCAAAGTACAGCTTATGGAGTACAATGGCTTCCCCCCCATAATGTCCCTCCCACCTGCAACCCTCCCCTTTACCACTCTCTCTCCCCTTCCATTCACATCAAGATTCATTTTCAATTCTCTTTATTTCAACAGTTTGCACCCACATAGAAACACAAAGTGAAAAATACTGTTTGAGTACTAGTTATGGCATTAAATCACACTGTACAGCACATTAAGGACAGAGATCCTACATGAGGAGTAAGTGCACAGTGATTCCTGTTGTTGACTTAACAAATTGACACTCTTGTTTATGGCATTAGTAATCACCCTAGACTGTTGTCATGAGTTGCCAAGGCTATAGAAGCCTTTTGAGTTCACTGACTCTGATCATATTTAGGCAAGGTCGTAGTCAGAATGGAAGTTCTCTCCTCCCTTCAGAGAAAGGTACCTCCTTCTTTGATGACCTGTTCTTTCCACTGGAATCTCACTTGCAGAGATCTTTCATTTAGGTCATTTTTTTTTTTTTTTTGCCAGAGTGTCTTGGCTTTCCATGCCTGAAATACTCTCATGGGCTTTTCAACCGGATCCACATTCCTTAATGGCTGATTCTGAGGCCAGAGTGCTGTTTAGGACATCTGCCATTCTATGAGTCTGCTGTGTATCCCGCTTCCCATGTTGGATCGTTCTCTCCCTTTTTTATTCTATCAGTTAATATTTGCAGACACTAGTCTTGTTTATGTGATCCCTAGCAAAGAAGTTTTTAAAAATAAGATAATGCAAAGAATATCTAGCGTTCACATAATTAAAAATAAGAAATAAACAGAAAAAGCAAATGGAACCAGAAACTAAATATATGAAGAGATCTATTTTGTGAATAAACTGCTATTAAGACTAGCAAAAAAACAAGGAGAAAGGACACAACTTATCAATTATAGGAGTCAAAGGAGACATCACGAGAGATTGCAGTCTTGAAAAGAATAAAGGAATGAGAAGAACCATATCATGCCTGTAAATTCAACAACTTGGGTTCCACAAAAGACAATATGTACAAAAAATGGCTCACAAAGAGATAGAATCTATCAGTAGTCACATAACTATTGGAAAAAAATGTGTTCTGTAATTAAAATTATGACCAAAAAACTCCTGGCTCGTATGGTGGACTTCATCACTTCACCAAATATGTAAGGAAGAAATAATATCAGGTCTTTGGAATCTCTCCAGCGAAACTAGTACCACCGGGGAGAGAGACTGTGAGTGGGAGAGAAAGAGAGAGAGAAAATGAAAACAACAAAATAAGGACAGGGCACGCCCTCCTTCATTTTATTAAATCAGTAATACTGGGATACTAAATCTGGGAACATGGATTTCAGCATATTACCATCATTCTCTAAATAATAAAGTTAGTCACTGTGCCTAGACTATTGGCACAATGTGGTATTCCTAAACATATGCTTTGTCTATGGGCTTTGGGATTTTGCTGCTGCATTTTTAAAATGCATCATCAG